ACACAACCTCCAGACAGTTCAAGTCGATATTCCTCTTGAGCTAATTAAATAAGTTTGTCCAAAAAATCTTTAACCACGTCATGTGATTTGTGCGTGTTGTTGACAGTGTGCCTGCTCATTTGCTGGCTGCCATACATCGTTATCTGCTTCTTTGAGACACTGACGGGAAAAGAGAGCCCGCAGCCTGCCTCGGCTGTTGCCACATGGCTTGTACTCTTCACTTCAGCTCTTAACCCATGGATCAACTCCATGACTCAAACGTAAGCAACTAAACGCACCATTTTCATTCTTATAATGCATATCATGTGGAAGTAGGGTAAAAAGGCAAGTATGTCTCTTACGAAGCAAATAGGGCTGGGCTGTATGACAGTATATTCATATAACAACAGAAACACATGTCTCTTATATACCTATACCAATTAATATGTATGTCACTGCTTTATTGTCACACTCTGGTGTAATAAAATTCACCATTATTCAAACATTTAAAAAAATTATTAAAAATGTATTCTATTCAGCAAGGCTGCATCAATTGACCAAAAAAGACCATATTTTAAAATAATATTAAAATAAGTTATTTTATAAACTCTTTAAAATAAATGCTGTTAAAATTTCTATTCAACAAAAAATAATGGACAAAAAATGTATCATGGTTTCACCAAAAATATTACACAGCAGCACAACTGTTTTCAGCATTGATAACAAGAAATGTTTAAAATTGTAACAAATTTAAATAGAAACAGCTGTTTAAAATTAAAATTTTTAAATTTCACAATATTAAAGGGGTCATATGATGCGATTTCAAGTTTTCCTTTCTCTTTGGAGTGTTACAAGCTGATTGTGCATAGATAAGATCCCTGAAGTTACAAAGACTAAAGTCTCAAAACCAAAGAGATATTCTTTATAAAAGTTAAGACTCTGCCACGCCCCCCTAAAACGGCTCGTTCTAACACGCCCCCACATATCTACCTCACTATGTGGAAATATTTGCATAATGCACCCAAATGTTCACGCAAAGAAAGAAGGCATGGTTTCAGTAACCGCAGTTAGTGTTGAAGCAGTCATGTCAGGGAGACGCTGTGTGTTTCAGTGCGAAAGCAAAAGCACTTTATTTGGCCTTCCAGAAGTAGATGCATTTAGGAATCTTTAAGATTACTTACAACAGAACAGCAATTCATTGTATGGACAACCGTTTCGTGAACCTAGGAGAGGAGGTAATTCTGACTTTGCTATGACAATCTGGCGCTTCTGAATCAGCTACTGTTTTGTTATTAGTTTAAGTATTTGCTATTGACTGTTCAAATGGAGTTTTGCGCATCATGTGTGCGTGTGTGAGAGAGAGAGAGAGCGAGAGAGAGAGACATCGCGTGTGTGTGTGTGTGTGTGAGTGAGTGAGTGAGTGAGTGAGTGAGTGAGTGAGTGAGTGAGTGAGTGAGTGAGAGAGAGAGAGAGAGAGAGAGAGATCGTGTGTGTGTGTGTGCGTGTGAGAGAGAGAGAGAGACAGGGTCACATCAAAGTGGAGTCAGCTGTCTTAACCGTGGCTTGTGTAATGCAAACACATACCAGCTTCATCACTGTGTCGGTCACGCGACTCTGTTCCCCTTTCGGGTTCTGTCTTTACATTTATTTTAAAAGATGAAGCTCGCGATTATGGTAAGGGGCGTTACATTTCCGACGAGTGCTTGCGGTGTTCGGCCAATCACAGTGCACTGGGTCAGCTGGCCAATCAGAGCAGACTGCGCTTGTCGGAAGGAGGGACTTTGTAGAAAATGAAGCGTTTGAGAGAGGCGGGGCATAGAGGACCTACAATAATGTACAGTATTTGAAAAATAATGTGTTTTTTGAACATTAAAGCATGTCAACATATTCTGTTACACCAAATACACAAAATAATGATCATTAAAAAAGCATCATATGACCCCTTTAAGGTTTTCTGTATATTTCATCAAATAAATGCAGCTTCGGTAAGACATCTCTTATGCTTTCAAAAGCATTAAACAAAACTTACAGACCTCATGATGCATTTATATATTAATATATAAACCATTTTATTGTTGAATTTCAAGAGAAAACTATATTGTAATACATATATCATTACTGCAAGACATTACTGTAAATATAAGGTCACACAGCCCATCCTTAATGGCATGATAGGTAGAAGGAAGTCAGGAAGATCCATAACACATTCTCCCTGAAAAGAAGCTCACTATTTTGGGAAATGTAATCATGGAGATATTACCTTTTTTATTGTTGATTAAGACATTCCTGGCCTTTTAACTATCAGATGTGGCAGCCCATATTAATACCCGTCACATTCAATAATGTTTCGTAAATAAAATGTGGCAGGAATCAAATGTGGAGCAGGATTGGAAAAGGAAGGTAGAGGTAAAAACTCAATGGCCAATTTGGGCCACATCTAGAAAGAGAACATGGAGTGGCTATGAATCGTGGTATTGATATGTGGTTGTTTTTTAGATTCTTAGAGCTTGCAAGTATGTGGGAGGTTTACCATGACCTTGTTTGTATCTCTCAGGAGGTACAGAGCAGCGCTGCGCAAAAGCCTGACTAAAATCCAGCAGATGTTCGAGTACCCTCGTAAAAACTCCCTCTCCCAGTGCACGACCATACAGCCACGCCGCGAGAGCAACAGCTTCTCCTCGCCAGCTCCCAGTGTACCTCCGGCACTACAAACAAACAACGAACCCCAACAGGACCTCACGCTGGTTTGAGCATGACCCTCACTGACCTTTGGTGGTTTGAATAGCGTAGAAATAATCATGACTTAAGGAAGCGTCTGCAGCATCGCTTCACCCCAGCACAAGAGGACACTGGGTTGGCGGAGCTAACCAGAAGCAATTTCACTGCTTATGATGTAAACAGACTTCATGCAGAAAGAAGAAAACTTGTGCGATATTCTACAATAAACGAATCTTGAAGAAAGAAGAGAAAAAAGGACTTTTGCTTCAGAAAAGTTGTATTGTTTTCTTTTGTGACTTGAACACAAACAATGATTCTTTTTTTTTTTGGTAAATGAATGCTCAAATGAATGCTGTCTCTAAAATGCTCAGCATCTGAAACGGCCAATCACAGTTCAATTGCTTTCAGGAACTGCATCCATGACTGACATCGACTGCAATTTTTATTATTTTGATGGCGCAATCTGAACTGACGCATTTCACTAGCTACTTAAAAATAAATAAATAAATAAAAGCTCACACCAACCTCTAAAATTATTATTCACTGTACAGTAACTGTGTAAGCCGGCAAACATTATAGGAATATTTCACCCAAAAAATTAAAATTTTAAAAAATGTAAACGCTCTCAGGCCATTCAAGATGAAGATGTATTGTTTCTTCGTCAGAAAATATTTAGAGAAATTTAGCATTACATAACTTGCTCACCAATGGATCCTCTGCAGTGAATGGGTGCCATCAGAATCGGAGTTAAAAAAAACATCACAATAATCCACTAGTCATAATGTTTTTAATCAAGATTTTTTTTTCCCTGGAGAAAGCGTTATTATGGATTATAGACTTACATTTTGGCAAGAAACAAAAGTTTAAAGTTGAAACGTTTTAATTATGTATTTAATTCTTACAAACATGCAGATTTTCACTTCACTAGATGTTATTTGATAGACTGGAGTCATGTGGATTATTGTGATGTTTTTATCAGCTGTTTGGACTCTCCTTCTGACGGCACCCATTCACAGCAGAGGATCCATTGGAGAGCAAATGAAGTAATGCTAAATTTCTCCAAATCTGATGAACAAACAAGCTCATCTACAAATAAATTAAGCAAATTTTTATTTCTGGGTGAACTATTCCTTTAAAACCATGCATACTCAGAACGACAAAATAAAATGAGTAACTGTGAAGACAAGACTAACTCCAAATTATTCTCTGTACAAATTTCACGTCATGTTCCTCCATATACTGTGCAGTATTTGGAATAATTTATTTACAATTCTATCTTTTGAGAATCACTAAAAGATATAAAAGGTTAAAAACTACTGCAGTGAAGTAATGCTTTAAATTAAAAAAGCAGTTTCAAAAGAAACATTCCATGTATGAGGAAAGTTTGCCCTGTAGTGGACCACCTGCATTTAAAGGGATAGTTCACCCAAAAATGGCAATTTGATGTTTATCTGCTTACCCCCAGGGCATCCAAGATGTAGGTGACTTTGTTTCTTCAGTAGAAAACAAACGAACATTTTTAACTCAAACCGTTGCAGTCTGTCAGTCATATAATGGAAGTGAATGGGAATCACGGCTCTGAGAGTCAAAAAAACATACACAAACAAAACCAAATTAAACCCTGCGGCTCGTGACGATACATTGATGTAATGCACTTTTAAGTCTGCGATCCGCCGAAAAGCAAGAAGAAGACGCGTCACGCGCCGGCTGTTGAGAACGCGCTCAGGACAGTTCAGACATTGCAGTGCATCAGAGGTAGAAAACGATATAAATACTGTTCAGTTTCTTGCACAGACCGATCATTTCGTGTCTTTACACATCAATGTATCGTCACGAGCCGCAGGGTTTAATTTGGTTTTGTTTGTGTATGTTTTTTTTTACTCTCAAAGCCGTGATTCCCATTCACTTCCATTATAAGACTGACAGACTGCAACGGTTTGAGTTAAAAATCTTCGTTTGTGTTCTACTGAAGAAACAAAGTCACCTACATATTGGATGCCCTGGGTGTATCAAATTTTCATTTTTGGGTGAACTATCCCTTTAAGATGGAAATCTACATGCAATCTGACACCAGGTTCAACAGCCACAGTATCTGTGACTTTTGTAATACTCTGAGGCCAATTTTTTCTTCACAGTAATACAAAAATACACATTTTGAAAATTTTGATTTAGATTTAGAAGCCGAGGGACAAGCCAAAATTATTTTCTGTAGTAATCCAAAACCCTCCGTCGCAATGCCTGCTTCTAAACATGTATGTCAAGGGCTACTGTAAGAAAATCCAACAAATTGAATTCTTATGTACCTGACTCACAACCTCGAAGAAGAATGCAAGAGTGGTGTTTGGATCCAGTCCACAAATTTTCCACTGACTTGTTCCGCCAGTTCCTATTTCCTACAAGCAGAAGTCAAAATGAATGTCAGTATGTTGTCGACATTGCCAGGGAAAACACTGAACCTAAGAGAAAATGTATAGCCTATTTGATTTAAGATAGATGAGTACTTACATTTTCTGACACACAGGGACCTTTGGCGTTCAGGGAGACACACGGGCCGATTGCTCCAGAAATCTTTATCTCTCTTGAAGTCTGAAATAATAGTTTGTTAAGATTATAAGGTAACCCATATATAGCACAATTAAATAATGAAATAATTAAAACAGACAAGACAACAGAACAATGACAAAAAGAAATGCAAGCCACCTTAATCTCAAGAGTCCCTGCTAATGCCATCTTAAAGGAGCCCTGCGCGTCCTTAGTGAAAACTCTCTGGAAGGTTTGCTTGAATAGGGATGTGTTGAAAGAGTCCGCCATGACCATGTAACCCCTGCCATTTACACAAAAGCATAAAGATGTACTGTTGAAGACAGTCCAAAGACATTGCAAGTTTACGATCAGTATAAAATTTATTTATTAAAACAGCATAATGGCAAAGTAAGAGATTTTCACACATTTCTGAATACGTGTTTGCTCGTACTGAAAATCTTGGGGATAGTATGTCTAGAATTATGTTTCCTGACTCTCAACATGTTTTAATATGCACCAGAGTCCCCTCAAATCTCTAAACACGCACTGTCAGTATGCTGAAACACAATTTAAAAAGAAAATTGAAAACCTTTTTTGAATCACTTACCCTGTATAGTTAGTGCAGCACTTCATTTCCAGTAATCCTGTCTGATCCAGAGCGCATGCATAAATATCAATGATGTGTCCATTGGCAGCAGCACGGTTGGCCAAGGCTTCATAGTGCTACAAGGGAATGACGTACTATTTTAAATGTGTACAGAAACAACATTTACACTTTAAACAGAATAGGAATAGCTCAGATAGAAATGCATGGCATTATCAAAGCAAAGGTCATGGGTTCGATTCCTAGGGAAAGTAAGATCTGATAAAACGTCTACCTTGAATGCACTTGGCTAAACGTGTGGTCAAATGCATAAATGTAGACGTAAACTCAAATCCGGTAAGAATTAGGATAATCAGCATTTGCGGACCAGCTGATTGCCAGTTTTCACACATAATGCTGTATGAAAAAATATGCAGTTGTTTTTCCAGAAAATAACACTCTGATTTTACGGTGTTCTGCTCTGAAATTTCAGTTGAAAATGCAAAGGTCAGTTCAATTGTGAACTTTCCAATGCACCTCTGTGACCCATCACTCACCAGTACAGCTTCAAGATACTCAATCTTTATGAAATCACTGGTATCACCAGTATGTGGGTACTTCTACCAAGCCAATCATACAGACAACAACAGGGTTTCTGCAGGATTTTTACGCTCAAATTTAAGACCTTTTTAAGACCTGCACAAATAAAATTAATACCATATGAGCGGGATAGGCAATGTCTATAATACCATATTAAACTGTAAAATTGCTGTAAAAAGCATAATTTACAGTTCAGATACAAGTTTTCACAAAAACAAAAAGTTTTATAAAATGATAAACTTTATATTTCAGCCTTTAAACCATTTTTACCATTAAACCATTAAAGTATTAATTACTATATTAATTTAAACAATTATTAAAAATAAATTATTATACCAATTAAATAACAAATTAGGGGTGTGCGATATCGACAAAAAATGATATCGAGATAATTTACAGGTATTTTATCGATAAAGATAATTAGACAATATTTTGCTGAATGTGTTATTATGCTGATATCTTATCTCTAATTGTGCTGACAGCTGACTCCTGAATTTTTTTATATTCTTCATATTTTTTGGTTTGTTCACAGCAGTGATAGAAGTTAATCATTTCCAACAAGTTTTATGGGCATTTTTACCTTTAAGACAGCGCTGTGGCTGTGTTTGGAATGATTTTTGTTGGAGAAATACAACAAAACCAGGAAATATGGTGTCTAAAACATAAGTCTCCTAATATTAACTTCCTGTTTATTGAACTGTTGTATAAAATCAATAATCATATTTGTAATCATGCTGACTTTGAGAAAAAAAACGGCACTTTTTGTGTGATATTAACTATATGAAATTATATAAATATATACATTTTCTGCCCCATATCTTGAATTATGTGAT